CGAATGTGCGATCGTGGCGGCGACCACACCATGCGGTGGTCTTCAGCGGCCTCAATAATTGCTCAGGGACGATGTCTTCATGAACTTGTGGGTGGCCTAGCAGAAGCACAGTCAAGCAAGCGGCCTGGGACAGGGCCTCTGACTGATTTGAGGCCTCATCATGATGACTACTGGCCTGGAGCAGAATTCTTCGTGGTCAGTGATGCTCCCTTTCGAACTCTTTTCTACCCAGAGGGTTGCTGACTCAGGCGGAATGTTGGATCGTGTCGGTCCGTGTGAGCAGGTCCGTGAATGCTGGGGCTGAGGTCCAGACGAGTTTGTCCGGCTAAGCTTGGCGTGCTACATTGTGCAGGAATAGTACATCTCTTGTTTTGTAAGATCTTATGAGCCTTATGAGCTGTACAAAAATAATCAAAAATACATACATAAACTATTCTACAAAAATGGAGTAGAAATTGTTCCAATCTCTTTGCGAACCACCATGAACCACAGGGTTACTCCGGACTATAGCTTGTACACAATTGATGCCAGGATGCCAATACGATATCCCGCTGGCACGGTGATCCACTACGATGCACAAGCTCTCCATTCAGCGCTAGAACCTCATGAAAGACCACTTACGAATGTCAGCAAGTCAGAGGACAGATCATCATACATTATGAGGATAGGTTTGTTGAAGAGTTTGCCAAGCTTCACGCAGAAAAATATTCTAAGGGTGTTTTTTCTATATATAGTTCTCCCTGAGTTTCCTACTTACTCTTCTCAACTTCCCCCAAGAGACCCATCAAACCCAGCCCTATTATATATATAATTCTTTCTTGTTTGAGGCCTGGATTCTGCCCAGCCTCTGAAGAGCTCCGAAAAGCACGAGGAGTCTCTTGTTGGAATCCACGTGAAAGCTGGTATACTGTAGCTCATTGATGACTCATTGGATGGTCCCGGTTTGCTTGGTGGTGTTTGTTTTCACTGTTCACCCACTTGATAGCGAAAGTGTGTTCCTTTTGATATGAATTTGCTGTGGTTGAGGTTTCATCGGTGGTGCGCACCTTCTTGCGAATTTCTGTAGTGGCCTCAACACTTCACGAACTGTATGCGTGGGGTCCAGAGGCATCTTTCGGACACTTTGTGCATGCATCGCGCAGGCCGTTGACAGAGTCAACGTGTAACTTACTGCAGCGTAGATTGCATACTGCCTACCGCAACTACCCACACACCAGACTCTCCCAACAAACAAAGAAAGTGACAGACCACACAGTGACACATGACTCACAGTAAAGTACATTTGCTTCAATGGCAGTTGAATGCAGAGTATCCTTCACAGATATCCGCAGTTACTTACAAAGGGGCGCTCCTTTTTGAACTGCCTTAGTGTCACACTAGTCATTAAGCGTCATACTGAGTCATACTTCAGTACCCCACTCACTGGGATTGGCCGACAGAGCTTGGCTCCAAACTCGAAGATGGTCTCCCCGTGGTCGCCGCGGCGGTGCCTTGCATCCACCAGGTGCCGGTGGACATCGGTCGCAGAAGCGTTTTCCGAAAGCTTGGAGTTCGGTCGCTTGGGCTGGCACCACGTGACTAGGATCAACATGCATTTTCTGGTGTTTTTCCTAGAGAAACGCTGCGAAGAGCTGGCAACTCCAGGGGTGTCACAGTCGGCGCAGGTGGGCGAGGCGCAGGTGGTCAAGTTCCCTCGTTTTGCGCAATGACCTGGACCTGGCATCTCACACATACAAGGTGGAATCCCTATAGGGATGCATGAAGTTGCTCTTGTTAGATCTTCTCAGTTCCCGGGATGGTCGCAAAACGATGTGCATGCACCAATCGCATCATGAGTGAGAGGTTGATCATGTTTGAATATGCTTGATCGCAGGACATTTTTGATGCCAAGATGTATTAAGGATATTTATGTATCGACTTCTGAGTGCAAGTGTACGTTCTTTGACCTGTTTATCGCTGACAATTCTTTGGCTGATGCTGTTTTGGTGAGTCGGAACCTGCTCGAAACAGAACCGAAAATGATTCATTGTGCTGTTTGCTGGCTTTGGCTGGGTAATATGTTGGACGATGTTGGACGATCCCTTTGGAAAATGCCAGCAATAGATCACCTCATGAAAGTGACCTCCGAATCATGCTGGACATATACCATGGTTTCAAGATGTTTTAACCATGGTTTTAGTCACTTTAAAATCTATGTTTCTCGGACTCGGACATGCTTGCCTTTTGGCGCAGGTGCGCGTTTTCCAGAGCTCCACCCCTTTGGCAAGCACAGCTTTGTCGAGCTGGCGGAAATGCCAGGATCTCAGCAGCGGAGTTGGGCGGCAATTCATAGGAGTTTGGCTCAAACCGTAGACCGCGAATGTTTTAGTCGATGCTTTCTTTACAAGGGGTTTTGGCTGGCACCCGTTTTTGAGCCCTAGCCGTAGCCGGATTAAAATCCGTCAAAATATGTGATCATCACTCATCACAAATGCTTTAGATTGTTACATTCACATAGGAACCCCAACCCCGGCAAAGGACAGGGGACGTAACAAAGATACCCCTACAACACTGTATGACAATATTCCCACAGCCACACGTCAGAAGCTTACATAGACCGAACCTCACACTCAGATGGGCTAACGATTCCTCGATGACCTGATGCTACAGGGGTTAACCTGCGTTGGATCTCATAACTGAATGATCATCATAGTCATTGTATCATGATGTAACAGAATCCGCCTGGCAAACAAACAAAAAGGAACAAAACAACAACAAAAAGCAACAAAGGAACGGACACCAAGACGGACACCCACCATGACGGCCCGTGAACGTGATTGGACTCGGACGCTTGGTTTTTTCCGGCTCAGGCGTGCTCGGCAGCGTGCTGGGTTTTTCGGGAGCTGCCCTCGGGCTTGGCTTCTCCTCCTGGGCGGCAGTGCCAGGTGAATGGTCATCATCATCATCATCATCATCATCCAGATTTCGATTCTGGTGAGTCAACTTGCATTGGAAGAAGTTTCGGCATGCATGGTGCCTTCGACTTATTCTTTGCCCCACTGTCGTTTCATGTGTGGTTATGTGTGTAGGTGCTGCCGCGCTCGCATTTCTCTTGTGGTTACCTTCGAGATTGAGGCCCATAGCGAAGTCCTCACTCAACATGAGGACTTTCGCTTCTCCATGCGAGAGTGGTATGATTTCATGCTCAAAGCTGTTGTGTCTAGAGTCTAGAGTCTAGAGTCTAGGCTGTCTATTATCAAGTCTTATGCTCAAAGCTTATACGTTCAAGTCAATGTCAGCATGAAGTTCCCATTGGTTCTGGCCGCAGGCAGCTGTCGGCGCCGTTTGTCGAAGATGCTTTGCTGAGACATTGTTTACATTGGAGGTTTCGCACAAACTATACTATAACGCCAATGGACCAATGCCAAAGAAATCCTTCTTCTGCCAGCCTTTGAGCATGTTTGGTTAATTTTTTTTGGTGAATGCGTTGCATGCCATTGCTGTCACTTGCAATCATGCTCACAAGATGAGGAGATGTTTCTTCACGTGCCGATGGGTGAGGAGCCTGAAGAGGCCAGGGCGATTTGTCATGATGTGTCCAAGAGAGGTATGGGTGTGCAATAGGAGAGACCTCCCTGACCTCACAGATATCTCTGGCGTTCGGGAACTGGGAAATGCACGGGCAGGTCCGACTATACCTGCAACACTCAGTCAACAGTTATCACTATTTTAGAGAAAGGCCTTTACTAACCATCATCATCCACTGAAATCTGGTAAAGAGATTGACGATTCTTGGCCTCGAAAGAAATGGGCTTTCTTCCCATCCCAGGAAGCTGCTGTGGCTACAGGACCACCACAAGGACGGCGTTTTGACAAGTGTGTGTTCAAACGTCCGACAGAACAGCTCGCCGAGCGAACTGTAGCATTTTGCAAAAAACACATCAGGAAGCAGTGGAGTTTTTGACTAGGACCTTTGGAGAATGAAGCCATGTAATTAATTAATCTACAAACAATTTGCATTTGGAGACTCCATCAGCGTCAGGACCTGCTTCCGCAGCCACACCCGCCGCTGTGCAAGCGAGTGTGGAGCTTTTGAGTCAGATCCAGATGCTGGAGCAACTGTGCACGAGATTGCCAGAAACGATCTCAGACACGTGCTGAACTGCTGAGCGTATGCGAAAGCCTTTCGGCCTGTTGAATGTGCGAGGAGCTTCAGGTGGTTGGTCCAGCCCTCGTCCGACATCTAGTTTTGGAGGAGCTTTGTGAAACGTTGGAAACAGACAGATGCACCCCGCCCAAAACACTTCGCTTCTCGAAGAGAGAAAATAATATTGAAGCCGAAAAGCTTCTTTATTTGTAAACGGCTGCTATGAGTCAAGGGGTTGTCACCGAAGCCATCCAGGAGCCCAAGAAGACCAAGCCCCTCCTGCGTTCGTCGGGCTTTCGCAGCGACCATCGATGCAGCCTTGCAGACCTGTGCGCACTGCCGGCAAGTGAAGGCACTGGGTAGACAGCGGGTGGCAGGTGTTGATGATTTCGCACACTTCAGACATGGCATTTCATAGCCACCATCAGCCACAGATGCGGATGAGATGCTTATATAATCCTATATACTATATAATACTATATATTTATATATCATATTGGATTAGACGATCACAAGTACTGTAATTTTATGTCATTATTATGTATCGGTCAAGATTCCATGGTCCACACGCTCTTCATGCGGACTTGCAAGACTGGAGAAGGAAAATGGATCGCAGTCGCTGGGGCAAGCCGGACTGACACACAGAGCCATGGCAGAGCTCAGTATGCACAGCCTCTCGCCACACCTGGTCAGGTGGACTAAATCGAGATCCTGCCTCAGATCTATATCATTCTATATCCAGAAACTGCTGAGCTGGGCTTTGAGCCTCAACACCAAGAAGTGGAATCACTAGCCAGTCACGTCACGTTCGTCCTTCTTCACCGATGCTCCACACCGACGTGGAACCGAGGTCGATCGACGCGGGCATTTGCACATGGATCTTTTAGACGCGCGTCCGTCCGAGCGGACATGGCGCGTCCGTCCGTCTTCGCCAGCTACGTTCGTAGCGAACCTTGTTCCGTTCATAGAAGAATGGAAACACAAGCTACAAGCGCGATGGCCTCCAGCGAGCATAGCGTCCTTGTTAATTACTAGCCCTGGTGTGGTCAAGAAGACGGGCCATGGCCGCCAGATGGTGCAACCGACCATAGATGGAATGAGGTTTATTTCAGTGACTCGGGTTTTTTGGGGTTGTTCCGGGTGAGTGGACACCACCAAACGTGATTAATATGTCGATATACGCCGTCCCTTAATTGAGCAAATTTACTGACAAACTCATTAGAGGACTGAAGCCCGGCGACAGTGGGTGGCGGAGAGATGAAAAACTACTCATTGGACCGGCCCAAGCCCCCTGCGCTTGGGCCGGTCACCTGCGGCAGGGCACTTCCACCGACGCCTCTATGCTGGCTGCTTTGATCAGAAGCCCAAAGGCCGAATCACTCGAGCTTGGAGAATCTGCTTAGGCTATCAGGCTATCATATAGGTTATCAGTTTGCCTCTCAAAAATGTTGCTCTCCTATTCCTTCATGCTTTTACTAGCAGATGCTAGCAGTTTCGGTTGATTTCCGCTCGCCATGAACATGGCAAGGGACGGCTTGTGCTTTTGCTAGGTGTTGGTCATGGAGGACTTGCAGCCTCGCGAGGAGGCAAAAACATCTCGTCAAGAAACTTTGAAAATATCAAACAATGGTTTACGAGGTTTTTGGACGCAGCTGGGACTAGGTTAGTGAACGCAGAACATGAGAGGTCGTCAAACATGCAGCATGGATGGGTAGCTGTGGCTCCTGATGCTTCCGAGTGAAAGGCATGCTGGCCCTTTGCCGAGGAGTGGGTTACGGCTGTGCGGGAACAATTCAAGTCATCTATGCTGAGACTTTGCATGCTGGCAGGGTAGGACTTGGGTAGTTTGAGTTGATGACTTTTGTTGCTCACTTTGGCAGACATTCAGCAGAGTGAGTGGTGCGTTGGCTGTAGCCGTAGACGTATTTGAGTCATGAACGAATGACCAAAATTTGATAAAATTGGTTTGCGATTTTGCTCCTAAGGTCTCCAACCTTGGTGGGGTCCTGGCAGTATGTTCTACTATACAAACCGACCAACAGTACAATGGATTTGACACTAGGTTTGATGACTGCTCGTTCTTTTCTGGCCAGGATGGAGATATTTCCAGGTGCGCCTTGCCTTCGCACTTACATGACCTGAAGTCATTGCCAGAAGGCCCACCAGAAGCTTTGCAAAGGCAGGGGTATCAGTCATGCAATACGCCGCACCCATCATCCAACTCGCCAGCCGTAAAGTGACTTGGTACATTGGCCAATCGGCTAGGCTTGGGCAGAGGACCTTGGTGTCAGGCCTTTTGCTGGCCATTGGTGGCGCTGGCATGCAGGTCGCAGAGCAACACGCAGGCAGAAGTGTGGTGAACAAGGGTAAGATTTTTGTGGGCACATGAAGGGATCGACTGATTTCTTGGATCATCACGAACCACTTACCCATGGAACGGATCAAATGTTTTCGCAAGACTTTGCTGCCGTCAGGCGAGGGGACCAACGATGAGAACCTCGTTGCTGGCACGAGATATCGCTGAGAAAAAGTTTGAGAACCTTTTGCGCGGCGATCTCCGACTTGCAAACGTGATACTGCCTGTTTAATTTTGAAAGAAGGTGTTGCATCAGAGAGAAGCTGAGATTCAAGTAGTCATATAGATTCACCAAAGATACCCCTGGTACCCCCTGGTGGGCACTAAACAATCTGAAAAGAAACAGAAGTCCTGGTCTAGGGGGAGGTCGTAATCCACAGCCATTTGAGGCCTATGATCCACTGTGGAGCCTTTCCCAGCTCTCGCATTTTGCATCCTTGTGCAGGTCTCAGATCCGCGGGGGTGTTTTCTTTCTTCCGGTGCTAATTATAAGCTATAGGTACTGCTCTAGTATAGGGTGTTACATTGGTCCTGCATGTTGAAGATGGGGGAAGCGGGCCTACTTTGTTGCTCACCAGAACAAGTGAGGCTACAGCCTCAGCTCGCCCCAGCAGAGTGGAAGCGGCTGGGAATCCTGGAGACTGTTGGGGGAAATGTCAACCAAGGCCCTGTTGCTAATCAGATACTATTATATACCTTGTTTGACCTGTTGCATGACTGGCTGGTATTGAAGTACGCAGTGTACAGGCTACAGGGCCCAAAACTACGGGCAGACGCCACAGACTGTTGCAGAGGTGGCTTTTGAACTCAGCATTCAATGCTTTTACAATTGTTCATCCCTGTTTGGCACAGATGATCTCAGTTACTGTGACTAAGATCTTGCGGGGATTGCATTTTCTTCTCAAAACTCTGAGTTTAGCTGCTTTGCTCGAGCCCTCCCACTTTGCCCAATCTCGCAGCAAAACGATGGCGCCCAAGAAGCGACCTGCCGCCAAGATCGAAGAAAGCATCACCATCAGTGGTGGTACGTACATTGAGGAGCATGGATTGGCAGCCAAATGTTTGCAGATTGAGCAAATTAACACTAGTGTTTAATTGCTTTGGTTCACGCAAGGGAGTTACAGAGAAAATCTATAGGTCCAAAAGGTATTGGTAGTCTATTTAATTGGGTGTTTGTACTGTACATAGCGTCGAGCGAACCTGCTTGGCCTCCTTCTCGCCCCCAACCACACTTGTGCAGATTTCGATTTGTTGGTGATGACGAGCGAGTGAGGGACGGACGGACGGAGGGAGGGAGCGACCCCTTCTAGGAGCATGGCTTGAAGGACTTCCTGGCAAAGGCTCTTGCAGAGATCGAGGACCAGAAACCAGCAGATCCTTTCAAGCATTTGCAGACTTTGTTGGAAGAGAATGGCTCCAAAAAGGCCAAGAAAGATGCCTGCTGGATGGCCTTTCCCTCCCCCGGTGATGTGTGCTATCGAGAGGCCGCCCGACAGCGCGCAGACGCCATCATGGCCTCACCGGATGGATTTCCGGGCGTCGCGCAGATCGTGTGCAACGGCGAGAGGTCGTTTCCGATTGATCCCAAGGACACGGCATTGGTACCTCAGCAGCACTTGTTGTTGGCAGGTGGGAAAAAGCAATATTATAGATGCATTTAGTCAACATGTCGGGCTTACACAACCAGAGCCTATCCCAATGTTGATGCAACAAAGGACGGGACACCACATAGCACAGCATCGCATTTCGCAACACCACATAGCATTGCTCTATTATATTCTATTATGAATTTACGATATAATATATATATATATAATTGATATGTAAATGTGCACAGACTTGGCCACACATTGTCTTCCAACTGTACCCACCCTGCAAGCAACCGGTTGCATGAAAGAAAGCAACAATCACAGCAGACTACCACAGCGGACAGTGGATTGCATGGTCTTATATACAGATACGGTTATAATCTTATACAGTATACATATATAATTACATACAGTGAGTGTTCCATGGTTTTGCTCGTTTGACGGTTGGAGGTGCTGATTGACATGCAAACGGACTTCTTAGAGCCCAATGGTCGTGTGGGAGGCCACTATAAAGACCTCACCGCTGTGCGCTCGGGCATGCCGGGCTGCGAACGACTCCTGAAGATGTGCCGCGATGCCGGCCTCACCATCGCACACAGCCGCTCGAGCCGTTATGGCTCGCTGGTGCGGTCAGAATTGGCACCTGGGCCAGGAATGACCATGGCTTCGTGATCGACTTGAAGATTTTCCCCAAGCCCTGCATGCTATTCCATGTTAATTTTTTTCGTTTCAAAGGGAGGTAAGTGAGGAACTATTGGTGAACAGTGTTGAACATGGTTGAACCCATTGCCGAACATCGGCTTTCTTGGCTTTTCGGCTTTGTGGTTGGATTTATTGGCTTTCCTTTGTGGGAAGTATGTAAATTCCCAATTCTCGTTTGTGCACTGGAAGGCCTTGACAAAAGGTATAGAGAATGCATGGGAGTGTTGGTGATTTGTTTGGAGCAGTTGCGTTCGCAAGTAGATGTATGCTACCCGCTGTTTGAGCTCGTTTGGCAGTGTGCCACACATGCAAGAAGAGTTTGTCGGATAGCTAGCAGCTAGCAGCTAGCTGTTTCGCTTCAGCACAAGTGTACGACGTATGTGGGAGGGATGGATCATAGCGCAGGGGTTGGAATTTTGCATGAATGTGTGTATGTGATGTTCTAGTCTTTGATTGAGCACAAATCGACCGGAAGGATCCGGAAGGGACGGTTTAGAACACCGGCAGCTTCTTGCAGCGGCTTGGTCTAAATGTATATGTTGTTGCTGGTTGTGGCCTTTGTTTCCCACCCAGGTGGGCACGGATGATGAAGGATATGAACTTCATCCCACGTTCCGCGCACGAGAAGGCGAGATTGTGGTTGACAAGTGGACCTTCGGTGCCTTTGCATCGACCTTTTTGGAGCGGGAGCTGATGGCCAGAGGCGTCAAACGAATTTTGCTTTGCGGCTTGGCACGTTTTTTTTGGAAGCAAGCCTTGCGAGTTAGACAGAAATCTTGTGGACAGACGTTTCTTGGGAACAAAGATTGGTAGGTTGAATATATGCAGGAGATTGCAGGAGTATTCATGTATTGTCCATAGTCCATGGATCAAGATTATATGGCTTTCCTGGATTTTCGCGCCTTTCCCCATGTTATGAACTGGGCTTCTGACTGCATGCTTTGCTTAGGTGGAGTGCTGACCAACGTTTGCGTATTCGCCACGGCATCACAGGCTGTGGATCGCTTCATTTCGGTTTGCTTGGTGCAGGATGCTTGTGCTGCCTTCAACACTGATTGGCATCAGAAAGCGCTGGACCTCATCAATCAGCCGCAGACACAACCAGGTCACAAGCGTGCGGTGGGGCTCTACTTCGGAGAAGTCACCCAGGTTGACAAGGTTGAAGCGGCACTAAAGAGCCTGAAGTGATTTGGTGATATGATCAGGTGATGATCAGAGCCTGAAATGGGCGGTTTTATGTTTTCCTACACTTTTCACTCCTCGCTTGTACCTGCGAGACTGAAGGAAAAGACTGTAAATCGTCCAAAGTCCATAGCATCTCGCAAAATTGAAATGAGTAACAAAGACGCTACTAGGTTGGAGGCCATCGCTAGTAGGTTGGAGGCCATTACTACCAGTAACAAGAAGATACAAGAAGTTACTAATTAGTAACAAGGAAGGATTATACAAAAGTTCACCCAAATAATTGAAAGTTCACCGCTGCAACCGCTGCACGTCGCACGGCCCCAAGGCCAACGCCGTGTGAAGCTGAGGAGCTGCGCCGCTGCGCTCGCCTGCCGACGCGGCCGTTGACGCGACGCCAGGATGTGGTCGCACCATGTTTCGACGAACTTCATAGCTGCGCACGGTGTCGCAACCTCGGCAGATCAAACATGAATGAACATCGCTAATTGTTTTTTCAGGTTCATGTTGGGAGTTCACAGGAACTTGGTCCTTGTAATTGAGCAGCTTCCACCTGCATATATATATATATTAATATTGTGCTGATTGTTCGAGCAGCCTTCACAGAATCAAGACAGATATGCCGCTGATATGTCCCCCTCCAAACGGAGAAGGCCCAAGCATTCCCAAGCGCTTCCATGTTTTTTGGTTCAGAGGTTTCGAAAACCCTGAACTGCTCTGGAATGCAAAGCATCAATGTGGGTATGTGGTTGTGGCCAGAAGCTGGAGGTACTCAGCATGCCTCCAAAAACATGTAAAACAAAGACACGCCAAGACAATGCCGTCCTTTACCTCCTTGCTTGGCCACGTGGTAAGTGATTCTAAAAACATCATGTGAGGAACTCAATCATTTGATCGTTGGTTGGTGCTGAGGTTGCGACCTGTCGAAAGGTCCTTCTGGAGATGCTGCTTGCTGGGTGCGCCGCTCACAGGGTCCGTCCTGTCGGCGTGACGCTAACCGCTCGATGCGACGCTAAGGCTGGCTGGATGAACTATGAGAAGCATTGGCCCAAGGGAAAAAGGAGCTAGTGGCAAATAGCTATTTGATTGAACTTTGAAGCAAGAAGGTGTACATTGTATGCACTTAGTATTTGCTACTTGCACATGAGCTGAAGCTGTGCAATTTATCCTTGGCTAGTTATGATCTTATCCTCAGAAGGTAGTGACCCACTATTGATGAAAGAACTATGCAGAACCTGGAAATGCCTGGACCGCACGACACCAGCACTGTATAGAGTGACACGTTTTAAACATCACGGGGTGCGGGATGTTTGGTGTCAGCACGATGAACTGCATTGTGCGGCGCTTTCATTACGTGAAGATGTGGTCAGACGCAAGGTGCTGCGATCCTGCCTCCAGACGTTGGGCTGGTTGTGGCTGGCAGCGAGGCTGGTTTGCCATGCAGGTTTGCGATTTTGGGCGACCAGTTGAACATATGACCAGTTTGGTCACGCTAGTTTGGCCACTTTAAATTGCAATGTTCCTTTGCCAACAATATTTGTGTCGCTTTTCCTGACTTTGGTTTGTTCATTTCGCCATGACCTTTGCCTGGGGTGCTTGCAAAAGGTGCAGATCTATGGGCACATGAGTACTTCTCGAGCTGAGCTGAGCATCAGAAACTTGCATCAAGGAGATGCACCACAACTGGCGAGTCTTGGAACCTCCACCGTAACTTCCAAAATCGCGGGAATCTTTGCGTTGTTATTGAATCCTCATCCAACAGAATGAGCCTGAGGCTCGAGCCACCACGAATGAACAGCCTTGCACCAAGTCCAACAGATATGTGCTACGCAAGCATGTGAAAGGACGTCCTCGCAACACTGACACTGCATCAACAGAATACCATCACGGCAGCTGTCAGTTGTGGAAACATTCAGATCATGTGATGTTCAGATGAGCCAAGTTTGCCGGGCTTCCCGAAAAACATTGATGTTTGTTCAAGCACTAGTAGCTATTTGCTCCAAGTAGTACAGCCAGGAGCTACAAGTAGCTTCTTGCTACTAGTAGCGATGCCCTTTGTTCCGAACATAGCAAGGACGCTACTTGAATATATAATTTGTTTCGTGAGTTGACAGTATCCGCCTCCACCTCCAGGCGCCGCCCAGTGCCACGGTCGATGCGAGGAGGATGGCGCATGCGGTGCGCAGCGCAGAGAATTCAGCGGAGAATGAAAAAGCTGTAATCCTCAGATTCAGAGCAGAAGAATCAGTGGAAGATGTTGCCTCTGAAAAGCAGCACAAGGCCTGAATGCATCCATATGCTGCACAATGCACAGGGGCATGTATGCTGACATGCGTTGACAAACAACTGACAAGGGCCATGGTCGGAGTCGGTGTAAGATGGGTTTCTTGTGATTTCTTCAACTTCACGGAAAGGGTGTGTAAGGATGGGCCTGATTGGTTTTGGATCGGTGCTGGCAGGTGGTTGGACTTACTTCCCTGCAAATTGGCAGCCCATTGGATGCAGGCGGAGTCCTCCGCCCGGTCATCACGCGCCCACCTGACATGGTCACTGGATGTCACTGGTCAGACTGCCACACGAGGCTTCCATTGGCGGCGATGTTTGGTCTCCGGCGTGTTGGGGTCCTGGTCTCCGGCGGGGAACGAGCCAGGTTAGTTCAAACATGAGACGACCTGTGAGCCAAGGCGTGCGTGCTGCGTGCCACACTGGAGGTGCTTTGCTGAGAGAAATTGAGTCAAGAGACCATAGAATGATCCATCTTATCAGAAGGATGTCATATTGCAGCTTCACAGGTTGTTTTTTGTCACGAAAAGCTGTAATCACTGGAATTGCAACGTCCCCATGTCAACATTGTGTAGTAGCTTTGGGCATTGCGAGGCGCCCCCATCACTGCATGCTGGTATCGTTTGGGGTTATCGTGACTGTGAAGAGCCAGGCCTTTCCCTGTGCTTTTGCGGTTTTGTGGCAGCCACATCGGGGCGTCAGAAAGATAAGGAGGGAAAGAGAGAAGGATTGGCTAGCAACCAGGCAATCAAATGCGGCATTGTTGTCGCATTCTAGCTTAAGTGGCACAACGATGAGGAGGAGGGCAGGATCATGAAAACAAACGGATGAAATCGGTCAAGGCTGATTGATGGTGATGATTCTGATGACAACTGATGTGTAGTTGTAGCATTTGACCAGAGTGTGCCTTCTCCCCCGTCAGATGGCTGCGTGCGGTATGGAGTTGACCAGCTTGGGCAGGACCAACCAATCCCGGCACACCTAGTTTAGCAGAGTTGTCTCATTGATACACTGCGGAACCTGGTGTCGGCCATTGTGTGTCGGCTATTTTGCTCCTTTTGGTGCCCGTTGTTATGCAACCACAGAACTGAACTGAGTCCAAAATATGAAAGACCAGGACAGATACAAGAAGCTAAGATGGACTGACTTTGATTTGTTCACATGTTTGGGTTGTTGGCTGTTACACGCCAGACGGACAAACATGCAACATCATGCAACATATTGCAACATGTAAGTCACCTCCAGGATGTGGCGTTCTTGAAAGAAGTTCCCAGCATAGCTGTGTGCGCAGAGCTGAGTGGGCTAAGAGCGGGCTTTCTGCTACAAGATGCCAGATCATGGTGGTCGTTGTCTCTGCAATAGAAACTATATATAGTGCTGTGGCGCTGTTATGGCTAATCTGTACGGTAGAGGATGGTTGCGAATGTCCTGGTGGTTTAGTTTATCCAGTTTCGCCACTTTGCCCAGGCCGAAAACGGTGCCAGGAGAAGGAGGACCCACCGACCTGGTGCCAATAGATGTGAACACTGGGTGATGGATAGGTTTCCATGGCTTCACACTAGTTACACACACACACACTGTATATACTGTATCTGTATATGTATATAGAACGTCATTTGATCTATTAGATATAACAACCATACTTACAAGCGAATAGAACAAGAGAGAGAGAGAGAGAGAGAGTGAGTGAGTGAGTGAGTGAGGAGGTTTTGTCCACATATTCAGCTTTGTTACGGGACTTTTCCTTGGGAGGCCTTCATCAGCAGGCTGTTGGATCAGAAAAGAGAGTATCTGACTGCAACACGCAGGAGTGCAAAGCTTTCTCCTACTTCCCTGACAGCTATGTGGGTGATGCGAGTCCTGATTGCGCAAGGGCCTGACAAGTATACTGCCAAAGTACTGCTAGGATGTGAGAGATCAAAGGAGGTCAGGCGACATAAAACTCCATTAGTTCTGAACAATCCCAGCTTACCTAGCTGAATTCTTGCGATAACCTGGAGAGACAAAACTTGGACAGCGGAAGCATGAGATTAGAAGTGCAGAACATCAGTTTTGAAATAACAGCATACATCGTCCACCACGTAGTGCTTCCCTTTGAGACAGTCCAATCGCCATGGTATGACCCATTTCCTTCCATACCGCAGCCGTAACAAAAACGACAACAGACAATGAAAAGACGCCTTCTCCACCAAGACTGTGTGCATGTGCTACATTGGACTGCCAGTATGCATTCCCAAGCTTTGGCAAAGTTGACATGCAGCGCAGTGCTTCAGGACACGAGTGTGCACATGCACAGACAGAGTACCTGACTGCGCCGGTGTGCGCGCACAGCTCCAGCAGTGGCTGGAGCTGTGATGCGGTTTTCGTGCGAACTGAACTGCTGCGAAACAAGGGAGTTACCCTAGTGGACAGAACGCTGCAAGACGACAACAGATTCGACAAGGTTCCGACGTGTTGAAGACGTCAGGTGGGCACAAGTGGCCCCGGCTCAGGTCATGCCAGCTGCAGTGGTTCTATGGTGGCGGGGCCGCTGCTTGATGAAGATCGGCAGCGATGAGAGGCAGGCAAATGCGGAAAAGGCAGTATGGCTGCCAATGGGCAATGCCAATGACCTAGTGCTGTGTGACACAGGCTGTGCGTGTGTGGGTGGGGGGGGGCATTTGCATTTTTGGATTGGCAAACCACAGTTCAAAAAAAATTTGAACCTGCATTTTGCTGGGAGAAGCTTCGTGTTCCCTTTGTAACACTGATGAGGTGGCATCCAGCAACCGCCACTGTGCCCCAGCAAGGCCGGGCTGAGACACTGTGCCGGGCTTTGAAGCCGACTGGCTGGTCAAAGCGGCCGTGCGACCAGGCCGTGGCTGCTGTGGGCCACCCACCATTCGAAGCAGCATGAGTCTTTGGCAGTCGTGCAGCACTTGGCAGTGAGCAGCGCAACTGGCGCGCGCGCATTGACCGCGCGAAGTCAACCACCAGTGATTGGCGAGAGACGTCAGACCAGTGGCTTTGGCCGTCTTTTTTCCCACGAAGGATGGAGACTACCGCCGAGAGCACTGTGTTACAAGGCGCAGCTGCACGGCGGGCTTTTTTCTGGCCAAGTCAGAGGGGAAAGTTAGATTTGTTTAAGCGACTATGACACGTCTAAAGGATTAAAAAGAATATCATTGGGTTGTGTGCTCGCCTTTAGCTAACGGCTAAACTCTTGAGAGGGCGATGGAGAAGAAGAAGAAGGTCATTTTGCCAAAGGTTGCTTCAACAGACTTGGACCGAAGAGTAGGCCCGAGTAGGCCCGACTGTCCCCACTGTGAGGCAACCGTGGCGAGCGGAGCTTGATGCAGAATATATGGCCACTAGCTCAGGGGCATGTATTCAAGCGTCCGCCGTAAACTATGTACGTACAAGATGGCACAAGGAAAGTAACTTTAAGATGTGGACGACTCATTTGAGTAGGTTTGCTTTAGTCAGTGTTTGATCCCTTGGACAATTACACCGAAGTGTAGCACCTGATCTGGTTGGTGTGTGTGCGTGTGCGGGGTTGCCATAAATGAAGCACAACCAAAGAGCCAACAAAACATACACACTCTGACACTTGTATTCAGTGAAATCAGTTACCACGTTGGGAAGAATGGCGGTGGAACAGCATGGCGAAAAGTCCGAGAAACTTGAAGGTGTTTGAACAAAAGTTGTTTCCCTTGACTGCGGTGACGAAGCGGCGCAAAGCAGCTGCAAAAGTGGCGGTGGGAAACCTGTTTTTTGGGAGGGTATCATGAGGAAAAACCATGAAACCAACGAACAGCAGCAGGGTGGACCATTGGTGTCAATGTGTTATTCTGCAGGTACAGGATCAAGCGTCCTTGATCCCTTCCCATCTGTGGTCGTAGCTTCGTTGCGTGCAGTGGACCACAGATGCTGCACGCCCCTGCTTGTGGAGTGGTGGTGGTGGAAAAACCCTTTGTCCAGGGTGGGACACACACACACACAGTGTATATATATATATATATATTATATACCTCTAGCAGGGGCAACCTCTTTGCAGTTCTTGAGGTTTCTCGAGCCATGCTGTTCACAGGCGAGTGTGCCAGAAATTTGCCAAGCTTTGTTGATGTCTTTTGTCATGCTTTGCCATGGTTGGTCCGCTTGGGGACTGTTGTGGTTGTTTGCCCTGATGTGGATGTCGGCAGAGATGGGCTTCTTTGACGAGGTGCTTATGCCACAATGACCTCGCGAGACCCCGTGACCTATCACGTGGTGCTTGTTCTGGTCGGTGCCCTGGCGCAAAACCATGGGAGGCAGAAGGAGGCATAAGGATGTTGAAGTTGCTTATCTTGTGATGTTTGAGCGAGGCTGATGGAGAAGAAATGTTGTGTGGCTCGGCTCCTGAGCATCTCAGCCTTTGTCTCAGTGCATTGTGATAGGTTGAGGACCTTGTGAATTGCACCTGTCGAAGTCGAAGGCTGAAAGGAAGACAAGGGGTTCTTATTGGGTCTTAAGATTTCTCAATTTGGGGAGGGGGGGCCCACTTCAACAGAATTAATTCTACTTGCCTCACATGTTGAGATGGCGCTGCTCTCCCAGTACAATGCTGCAAGCTTAGTCACGTGGTGCGGGGAGAGCTGCGCTTCATTGGGTTAGATGGGGCCAAGATGCCCTTCATTCTTGACAATGAACTTTTGACATGTACAACCGAAGCAACTGTTGCTTGGCATATTTTGGCATGCCTTTAGATATGTTGTTTTGTAGTCCTACCACTGCCATGATGAGCGCCGAGCGACCACCTTCAAGGTGCCAACAAAGCCGCCGAGCGACCAGTGAGAGCAGCCAGCTTCCAAGGGGCGGGTGGTGTTGGGTTCCATCTTGTTTTGGCGGGTGGGGTGGCTTGGACCAAACGATTTCCATGTCCGTCATGTCCCTTGGCACCTGTTGGGGATACTTGTTTGGCACCTGTCGGTCAAACATTAAGAGCCCGGCGTCAGATCCGGCCACAAATTGCCAGCCAGGCCGGCCTCACTCCACTCCCTCAAGAGGGTCCCCATGTTGTTGGCACCGACTGCGCCCGGATCGATCCACCAGCGATGTGTCCTGGATCGAGCAACGGAACAGCCGTGCTATCGCGTCAACGGGCGGCACCTGAGGTCATCATACATGGAATGGGTGCAGAGGGGTTTTCTCTTTGTGAGGTGGAGCTGCCCTTGGCTCAGTCAGAGAGAGGAAAAAAGACAACGAAACACTCATCCATCATGGCACAGCACCGGAGACGAGTGATCATTGGACGTCACAGAGATTAATGAGACCTTGATGGCGTTAATGGCTCACTGTTTGATACAAGACAAGGAGTTAAAGTAAAGGATGCTATATAAATGCTACTATATTTGTAAGTATTTATACATATATACACAAACCATTTACTAACAGGATCAAACAGGATATGCGGGTCACCTTATTATCCAAGTTTCTATCGGCCGGTGTTCTTCCATAGTACGACATGGGTAATTTACACGAGACAATGCGGGTTCAACTCGGAGCAGGCTGCAACAAACGACTAGCGTGGAACGTGCCATGCGTTTTTGACCGTCACCATGTTTCAAGGCGTGTGGCCCCTGTGCCATGCCACCTGCTGTACAAACAGGCGATGACTTCATGCAACTTCTATGGTTTCATGCACCAGTCAAGCAGCATAATGTATTTAGCTGCTAGGACTTAGATGGACTCAGGATGCTGATTTCATTTGGTTGCGCAGCAATGTGCACTATATATATATATATGACTCAAACTGACCAACATAATTGCTTTGCCGTGGGTGAACGTACCACCCACTGCTGCGCTCAGCGGCAGCACGCGCAAGTTCTGGATCATCCATGGACGGCCGGTCCACCTTTTACCGCCTGGAGAAGCCAAGCGTGTATCGTGTGGCCCTGAGCCTGCTTGTGCTGTTTGTTTTCTTTTTTCTTTTTTTTTTCCAGATGCTATTTGTTGATAAGGCTTTTTTTTTGGTCGAACATCGGAAAACACAAGTTTGCCACTGATTGCACTAGTTGTTGTTATCAGCATGTCAACTTGAAGTTCGGCTCCAAGAGGTCTAAGAGGCATGAGCCAAGGCTTTCGCCTCCAGCTCACTCTATGTAGGGCCCAGACGGTACATCCCGGGAGAGTTCTTTCTTGAGCGAAACTGCAACTGTCAGCATGACCCCTCGTTGAGCTGATGTCACCCGTTGCACGTTGAGTGTTTGGTACCACCGGTCGGCCCTTCGAACTAGACACTGTCCGGGCCCTGCCCTGGAAAGATAAGTAGATCGGCTAAGCCCAACCGTGCACGGTTTCCCGCACATCGTGCTGAGGCTGGATGGGGCTGGTGAAGCCTGCGAACGAGCTGGTGGGAGCCTGCAACTCAGTTCAGAAGCTGTAGGACGTGCCAACGGGGATGGATGACTGGATTGGTGGATGCCGTCAGTATAAATCGTCGGGCTACTCTCTTACTGGCAAAACTTCTTGCAAGCTCCTGCCTGCTGTGGAAAATCATATCCAACTTTTTGGGGGGCACGGCTGTGAAGCACAATGGCCAAGAAATTGCTGACGTTTGACCATCGTCCAGCTGAACGGAGTCATGTCATGCACGATCACATCAGATCAGAATCATGAACCACCCCAAAGGCATCCTAATTATGCCCAAATTTGTCCGATTTGACATGTGGTCTACTCTGTCTTTGATGGGCTTCCTGGCTGTTCTCATGGTTTTTGGGCTCCGTGCGTCCCTCAGACGAGAGGGGCTCCCTGCCGCCTCTCGAAAGAGCGCGCCCGGCAGCGATGGCTTGGACACGAAGACCGGCGCCGAGCTTCGGCGAGAGATGACGTGGTGATCGTCGCGTTGATATGTGTTGATCCTTGTTATTTTAAAAAATATAAACACATCAAAACAATCCAAAACATAAGTACGTATAGGTTTATCCACGGTTTAAAAAGAGTTGCCTTTGTTTTTCTACTAGTTACTAGTCTAAGGTAGGGACATGTAGGGACCAATAGATTGTTGAAAGCATCTGCAATCTGAAAGCCATAGTTCATTGGCAGGTCCCGAAGAGTCATAAAGAGTCATAGTTCAGTGGCAGATGGGATGCTTCCTCGGACATGTTCAAACCGGTGTTTGAGGATTCCTTTGACCAAAGTGGAATTGAGTTGATCACCATTCAGAGGAGAGAGGCCTCCTCTCTCTCTCTCTCTAAGACTGCACAAAAGACATATATGCACAGTATATACATGTTCGTGTGATGTTCTATTGTGGCTTTAGTACTTGCCACTCTGGCTCCCGGTCAATTCGTCGGGCTGACCATGTTGGCGCTCAGGATGGGAATGGCTAATCGCAGGAGGGCCGTTCTGGTGCTATTCTCCAGCACGGCTTGCTGGTTCCTCGGAAGAGGCCTTTCAGAAGCATCCCGCAGTTGGGGAGCATGCTACTAGGGAGCCCCAGAGATTGACCTATCATTATCATGATCATGATGTAGAGATGGACAAGCGGTTGGTTGCTAGCTGTTGCAGATTGAGCCTGCCACGTGATTTTCTCTATAAAGCAACTGGTCACTGAGTGGCATGCTGTTTATTAGATGAGAGTCGCAAACCGCATGATAGACAAAATCTTGTTTGACTCTTGTGGGTCAAATCCACGCCAGCAGGATTTGTGCCACCAGCCGGATTAACACCGACCGTTGTCACTCCCACGTCGTGGGCTCCCATTGCTGTATCTGGGCTTGCACTGGCGTCGCTTTGCCTGAAGTCACGTGAGTGAACACTGCGAGCACTGATGACGAGGGGACAGATTGACATGAACTTTTAGGAGTTGGTGGTGGGAAATCATTGTTTAAAGAACACCATGGTGTTTGCAGCGCACATCACCCAGCCCAACCCGGCCGTAGAGGACACCTTCACCCCGCCCACCGATTGGTTGCTTTTGGGCAATCAGACACACACATACACATATATATATATGTTTAATGTATGTTATGATTCTTGCTACTAGTGGCAATGCCCTTGCGACTAGTAGCGATGCCCTTGTTACTAGTTTCGGCTCGATCGATTGAACACATCCACGCCGTAGACTCCGTTTGACCTGTTTGCCATTCTGAGGCCTCGACTGCGCTTTTGGCCCCAGCTGCAGCACAAGCAGAGTTGGCCGTAGACAATACCATCAACCCAACTGATGCCATCGTCCAGGCGTGACTTAGACAACACCACGAGACAGGAGGCTTTTGAATCTCACTGGGCGAGAACTAGGGCCACAGGACGCCCTTGGAATGTATTGGATTAAGATTACATGTGTTGTTTGCCCTCAGGCATTTGCTTTGACCTTTGTGTCAGAGATCGGAGACAAGACCTTCTTCATTGCTGCCATTTTGGCAGCGGGAAGCAGCGCAGCTTCTGAAGGGCTTAGTCAAAAGGCGGCATGGAAAGAATGGTGTGTGTGTGTGTGTGTCAGTTTCAGTCACTGTTTGCAATTGAAGAAGGTCGATTCTATCGACTTGATTTGAATTGGTTGGTTATTGTTTTTGTGGAATGTGTGGAATAGGATGCAGATATACTTCGTGGTGAAGTTGACCAAGTGTCAGAGCATACCAGAGCTAAAGAATGCTAAAGACAAAGGTTTGTGAGACATGGTCAGTGTACAGTACCTTTACACGAAAGTCCCCTTTGAGTCCAATGTGGCTCACCGACTCATACAGGCCCACAGCTGAATGTAGTCGGTCAGATCGGATCAGTGTGTGAAGCGGTGTAACGGAAAGCTCCTTGGTGCCATGTGCTACTCAATCGCAGGTGAGTCAACAGCTGAACTATACTTAATGTAGACTCTTGATGAGGTTATGTTGTACTTCAACCTCCCATGTGAAGAGGTTTTACAACTCAAATGAGGGGTTATTCATCAAGAGATATCAAGAGTCTACCTCACTTGGACTCCCCAAAGACTTGCAGGTGCTGACCTTCATTGGTGCCATTGCGGCCCTGGCAGTGATGACCTTCATTGCCGTGAGCATCGGTCAGATCTTTCATGCAGTGCCAGATGCTGCAGGAGGTCTTCCTATTGATGACTATGCGTCCATCCTGGCGTGGCCCGGCCGCAGGGCCGTGAGAGGGATGTCGAAAGCGAAGGGATTGTTCGATTTTGGATGGCTTGCGTGGTAGATTCAAGTGCAGGGGAACTCTTCCATTTCACATCATGTTGTGGTTGAGGTTTGGTTACTTCGGCGTGAAGTTGCTCCTAGACGCCTCGACCATGCCGGACGACGGTAGTATTCTGGCAGAGGAAAAGGAAGAGGCTGAAGAAGCAGTGAATAGCTCTTTGCCAGAGTGGGTGACCAAGCTAGCTATACCTGCAGTGGTCACTCAGGCCGGGAAGGGCTATAAAAGAAGACTGGCTATGGAATAGACTCGAATAGACTCATCAGTGCACAAGAGAGATGGAAATCATTCATCAAGATTCCAGATCTCCCACAATCAAACCACCTTGCCTTTCTGCCGCAATGAATCATTGAGCCAGCTGGCACAGCCCACAGATGGCCTGAATATGTTTGAATTGGCAAAGCAATGAACAACTTCTCATGACCCATGTGCGCAGCAAAATCCACCAATTTCCGTCCCTCCACACGTCTTGAGGCCTTTTTGTTGGTCTTCGCCGCCGAAGTCGGAGATCGCTCCTTCATCTCCGCCGCGGCGTTGAGCGCCCAGGGCGGCCCCGAGGGCGGCGTGGCCGTCTTCATCGGAGCCATTGCCGCGCATAGCATCGCCACGCTGCTGGCTGTGGCTTTGGGCGATCTCATCAGCACTTACGTATCAGAAGCCGGGCGGTGACTTAGGAGTCAGACGGCCAATTGAGGAGCCAACATCGGCTCTAGACGGTTAGGGAGTGAGTTTCGGGGTGGTGAGTGTAGTCTTGATGTGGGTGATCTTGGAATGTCAATGGAGTAATTAGTTGTCTTCAGGCTTTTTCGTAATTGAGTTGATGGTGCAAGCGGACCAGTAGCCGTTCTAGCACTTTGCTGCTGGCCACTAGTTTTGGAGATGCCGCAAATGATAATGAAAAACACTGAGAATTTTTGAACAGTTAATCTCTTAAATTACACTGGCCAGATGAAAGTTGTCATGACAACCCTATCCCCCTAGAATCCTACACCATGAGACAAGGGAAGGTGTGGGCGGTCATTTGTCACCCCAAAAAGCCGTTTATTTTTATAAATTTAAAAGGGTGTGATAATTGACCGTCCCACACCTGCCATGAAAATTAGACGTTAATTCGATCCGCCGCTGACCTCAAGAGTGTTTTGTAAGAAGGCTAACGGCTAACAAGCGTAAACTTTTGTTTGCCTGAAGTAATGCCTAACACATGGGCCTAAGACAGATCCAAGATGCCTATTGAGGAAAAGACGCTCACCTATATTGGCGGTGGCCTATTCCTCCTTTTCGCTGCGACCTCGACGGCAAACGTGGTGAATTCGATGGCCTAGCTTGACCAAGGGCGGGAAACAATCTGATGAGAATGAGAAGCATGAATGAATCTGAAAATGCTCATGCAATACTATAGAATCTGCACATGAGCATGCACTCAAGAAGGCTATTGATAGACTTATAAATATAACCGTTATATATCTCCTTCCAGAAACTCAGAAATAGCGATACAAAAACATAGTCGAAAAGCGAACTGCTCGCATGATTCCAGGAGAAGGACGTTCTCCTAACCCAAATAGTCAAGACAGCTATGAGGGTTCGATCGGCCACTTTCGGCTGTGCCAACTGTGGCATGTATATAGGGCTGTATGAATGTGTGTGTTTCCTGTTGATCCTCAAATTCTTGTCATTCAGAACTCTAGTCGATCTAGCTTCATTTGAGAGCATGGCCGAAAGCAAGATTTTCCCAGCGCCTGGGGGCAGTTTTGATTCCTTGGGTTGAGCTTATGGCACACTAACTCAGTAGAAGTCAGCAAGAACCCTTGGCAGAGATTGACAAAAGCCATGCAGGCACATGCCTGGAACAAGATAACTGTAATTAAAGATTTGTGATCCCTGCAAGTGGAGTTTGAAGCAAGCTTTTGGGGTCCAAGGACTCCAAACTAAGCCCAGGCATGCCCAGACAAAGATGGCACGCCAGGTGCCAGTTAACCACCTTAAAAGAGTGCGCGCGCCGGGTGCAGCTAATGATATCCTGAACACTCCAGAGCACCAGGTGTTGCTGAATCAAAATGAAAGTGAAAAGAAAGACAACACCCAGTTGGGTGCACTCCGTAAGCACTCCATGCCTTATCACTTTGGACTACTTTTTGGTGTTTGCTATGCATGTTTCAATCCCCACATTCTCTACGCTTGAGCCATGTCTGGTGGGCTGAACGGTCGACCAGACTCGGATCATGCAGCTGCAAACCGCAGTGTTTCGCTGTGTTTCGCCATGAGGCTTTGTGGAGGTGAAGGGCCGCATCATTTGTGGGGAGGTGATGTTCGCTGCGAAGTGGATGCGATGTTTGCGGACGAGTCGCCTGAGATGGTCGCAATTGGATAAGACAACCAAGGTTTCTTCAAAGCATTTGTATTGAACCATGTAGCCGATGCAAACACAGGCACGATGTGGGAGACTTAATGAGTTTAGCTTATTTGTTTCTATAGGCTTATGATGGAATATGTGCACGTTTTATGCAGCTGTTTCTCTAAGTGTTGTTTATGTATGTTTATAAATATGTTCTGTTTTTGGCATCCTGTCTTCAGACGCATGGGATGTATCGAAGAAGCCGCCAAAGACTGACGATCGATCGAGGAGGTTGGTCGCAAGCACGTGGCTCAACCCCACCATGTCGACACGAAGCACTCAGCTGAGGGCCTCACACAGCCCATCCCTTCAGCACTCGCGAAGATCACCACAAAGCCTGTTGAAACACGCAGGGCTCCGTAGACGGCAAAAAAATTAGACCTCTCAGCCACTGAGACATGTCACAGACTGAGTCACTTCCCTGAAAGATAGGGTTCTTGAGGTTGGCACTGCCATGCACTGCCCCTCTCAAAGACATGGGGGATGACAGAGAGCAGCTGGGGGACTTACACAAGCAACCTGAGTCACCCGAGCAACATGGCGGGTAAAGAGCAGCTCGATAAGGCCAAGGTTGTGTGGAGCCCAGATTCATACAAATAACAAAACATCACATACGTCGTGGATCAAAACCTCGATCTCCAACACCACGATGTGCAGTCCGTGAAGAACGCAGCACTCCTAAGCTGCTAGTAGACTAATGTAGACTATTCTGTTCATTCTGGGCTGCGGGGTTCGTGTAGATTTGGATAGATTTTGTAATTACTGGGTTTTGACCCACTACCACATCCTGTACCTGCTGATCTTGCAGGACTCTGTCAAAGCCTGAACTAGACCTGGCAAGCAAGGCCTTGCACAAGCTGGTGGCCATGTCTGCATCCAATGGCAAGCCGAGTTCGGAAGGCGCCAAGCTGACTGGGATCTGGGCAAAAGCTGACTCGGCTGACTCGTAAAACTCTGAGACCATGATCGTAGGCACTGCTTAAGTGGGACCTTCAGTCGGGATGACATTGCAAATCTCGATCCCCTTCATCGATCATGCTTTGCAACTTGCACAGAGCTGCCATCGCGTGGTTGCATCAAGAAACCCAATTCAGACACGATTTTGGATGTTTTTGGAATGGCGGCCGGCTCACTCACTGAGGCTAGAAAATCATAGCATTCGAACCCGAACTGCCCACCCGAACACCTCTCCGACGCTGAACGCCTCTCACCAGGTTCAAAGGAGCAAGCGAGCCAAGCGCTACGGCAGCTCTTCCGGAGCAATGGCTTGGCCAAATCAGGCGCGACAGATGGAATTCCAAGATGTTCCAAGATGCCCCAATTTCGGCGCATGTTGAAGCCAAAGCTGCTTCGGTCCAAGTCCTTGGAACGTCTTCCGGGCGTAGCAGGCGGCTTCCGGGTGTCCGCAGCCCTGGTGCCAAGGTGATGTCTCGGGACATCCAGAGATCGACGTGAAATTGGCTGCGCTCTTGGATCGGGTCCTTAAGGTTCCAGGAGCCACCGGGCACGTTCCGCATGGCGGAACGTGGCGGAAACACGCCTTCGATCCGGAGGCACTGACATCTGGGAGTATTTGGGAGTGTTGGTAGAGTTTTGGGGGGGGGCACTCATATAGATCAAGACCAGGAATCCTCCCAACATGGTTTGGATGTGTTTGGATGCCGAACAGTTGCACACTTTTTGCATTCGGATCGGCATGTGTCAGCCACGGCCGGTGGCTCACTGCAGTATGCCGAGCCCAGCTGCATTTAGAGCTCTAGATTCTAGAATGTCTAGAATCAGAATACGACATATGTAATAAGAGAATGTTCATATGGGAGCCGATCGTAAATGCAAATCTAAGAATTATGAAAGCCATGTGTATCTCAGCATTTGCGATTGTAAAACCCTGCATCGCGGTTGATTGGCGATTGGTTCGCGATTGAGACAAACATTTGTTGTATCAGAATCGACCATTGTAAGAGGAGAAATCAGTATTATATGGGATGATAATCATGTTACAGTTCAGCCTTACACTGTATTCGGGTTTGCCTAGACACTGTGTTCATTCAATAGTGATAGCCAATATAGCAAAGAAGAATCAGAACAGCAAAGTTCAAAGTCTACCAGCCCAGATCAATTCAATTCTCAAAAGAATGTCGACGACATCCGCGATTGGTTCGCGATTGATCCGCGATTGTGCCGCGATTGTTAAACCCGCCTGTGTAGGCCCTGGCTCACGCCATGTCTCTAAATACTGTGATATGTAGCAATGTTTCGACGATTCTTTGCGTAAAATAGTGTTGCATACGAGAGCACTCTCCCGCGATTGACACCGTTGGGGTCGCGATTGATTCGCGGTTGATCGGCGATTGTAGCTGCCTCAGATACCATTATGTTGATCAACACCCATATATTTTCATGAATTGTCATATGCAGAGACATGTTCGCTTTGTCCAGGAGATGCATCTGGAAGCTCTTCCACTCCTAAGAGCTCTGCTGCCCGCATGGAGACGTGGCGCACGGAGACGAGACGGCTTTGCATTTTTTCTTCCATCATCTCCCATGATTGTGTCATCTCATGGTGATGTCACAAGAATGGACAGGCTTGAATCTATGAATATGCACGAGCAAACGGGGGTTGAATCTCATGGAGTTGTGGAGAGGGAAACAGCAACGACGGCGGCGCGAGAGAAGCAACGACGAAAAAAGGAGAGGGTATGAAACAGTTGCTTGAAAGTTAGGTCCGTGGGGCCAAGCAAAACATACATATATATATATATATACGGTACCCCCCCCCCAAAAGTCCATATTTTTTGAAATTTTACTGGTATTTGCAGGGATTGTGGGGGTACCATATATATATATAATCCTAGCATCCATTAAAATCCTAAGATTTCAGCACTAATCGGAAATGGCGGACGTAAACTTTCCAGTACTTAGAGAATTCCTGAAAATTTTAAAATATTTTAAAATTTTAAGTAAGAAGCAAGAAGTAAGATTCTCTGGGAGAGTTCTGTGCAATCTTACTTCTTACTTCTTACTTCTGAGAAAATTTTAGAATATTTTAAAATTTTCTGGAATTCTCTAAGTATTGAAGTCTTCACCGTTTCTGGAGCAGCCGGTTAATCTCAAAGGCATTTTTGCATCCAAAAACCGGCTTCATGGCATTCCATGTGTCTGGGGAAGTCACGGTCTCCAATGACAAGGCGAACCTGGTCCTTAATTTGAAGGACCCAGTGACATACCTGCTCGACATGAAAGCCTTGTGGGATCGCATTAGGGTGAGGAGTCTGAGATGGAAGATGTTGAGGATGAGGTGGGTGCGTGTGTGGAAGTCAAGGGTGGCGATGCGAACCAGGAGGATTCCGTCTCAGGGGAGACTATGCAAGGGGACTGGCTCGAAGCAGCTGTCTTCAAGCATCCAAAGTTCAAGCAGATGTCCTTTGACTTTGATGACCTTGGTCAGTCTCTGCAGAGGCTTCAGTTGCAGGAGAAGAAGGCAGAGATTGAACAGAAAGATCGCATGATTGCTCATTTGTCCGCCCAGGTAGCCCAGTTGCAGGGTGCAAAGTGAGAGGCACTGTCTGTAGGTCTTCACTGCTGCATTGTCTTCCTGAGGGTAAAAAATAGATCAAGGCATGTCTTCCCCCCATCTTCAAGGCATGCTAGGCCCCACATGAACAACTATATCTCCAAGATCCCTTCTGCTTGCTGGGAAACATTCAACAAAGAGGCATTCTGGAATCTTCTTGGCACCTCCAAAATCATAAGGTTAAGTCCAAATACCAAACTTTTGCAAAACTCTGGCTGCTAGTTGCCAAATGAACAACTTATCTCAAGATTCCTATCGCCCAATGCACAATATGGTGACATGCAATTCAACAGACCAGACAAAAAAAACCCTCAAAATGTACCCCCAAAAAATGAATGCCAAAATGTCATCAAACCACTGCAAATACCAGTGCAAGCCAAAAAAATGTGGACTTTTGGGGGGGGGGGTAGCACATATACACTACATTACACTACAATATCGATATAATTATGCCAAGCATAAAACTACCCAGCTATATCCTGTATAATGCTGTATATAATTGTATACTCGTATAGATATAACTACCCATGTATATACTGTATACCGTATACCCCCAAAAAACTCTTGGCTCCAATTCCCGGGACTGTTTTCTGCCCAATCCCTATATGAACCACTTGGGAAGTGAGCCAAGAGTTTTTACAGGATGTAAAGTGGCTGTTGTTCCTGAAGCGGTTTTCAGGAGAGCCCAGAAGAGCTGGCGGAGAAGATGGGCCCAGAGCCGGTGCGCAAGCCACTGCCAGAGCTACCGAAGAAACGATTGGTGCTTCCAGAAGAAGGAGGCAGCTCAGCTTGAGAATGAGAAGGCTATGCCATAGGCCAAAGGCTGTATAAGTAATTGGATCAGCATCAGTTCTTGCCAATCTCATATATCATATACAGTGGCGTTTTGCTTGGAGTGCGGAAGCAGACGAGCATGAAGAGTGGCACTCTGCAATGAGATATGTGACTTCAGGCTTCTTGAAGAGGTCGTCATTTTGCAACCCTTCCCATTTCCGCATTACTCTATATTGAAAACTTGCTGATGGTTCTTTTTCTCGGTCACCGCTGCAAAAGCTAAACAGCTTGTGCGGTGCAATGTTTCTACACATTGAGAACGCAGCAGACGCCGTTGATGCCCTAAGGCCTTTCTGCTCCCATGAAGGTCCGGGTGAAAAACGCCTGCGAGGCGGGTAAACCCTCCGCATGGTCGTACAATGTCGCTTCTGCTGCGCCGCATGCTGCACGCTTGGATGCATAATATCATTTGATATATCTGCGCACTTTTGATTGATGACTTCCTCATGTTCTCGTTCGGCTCAAGTCAGCCTCACTTGACACATTTTTGTAATTTTGGCAAAGATGGCAGCTCCATACTTGAGCCGCCTGTCGACTGTCCCTCGAAGCACTTGGAGCCCTGCTCCAAGTCTATCTGCACTAGCTCTCAGCAAGCCTTTGTCGATTGACCGATCTCGTGGTCGAACCAGCTCATGGCGCGCGGCTGCATGCGCTGCGATGCTGGCTTCTGCTCATGCTTGTTCCCGGGCCACAGCCCAACGTGCAAGCAGAGCTGTGCGCAGTGGAAGCAGTAGTGCAGGTTTGACAACCTGCGCAGCCGGTGATGTGCCAACGCTTCATGTCGGACTTGTTGGCTATGGGCTTGTAGGACAAGAGCTTGTGAAACAGATGATCAAAGAAGGACCCAAACTGGAAGAGAAGATTGGAGTGCGCCTTGAGATTGCCGCTGTATCTCGCTCCCAAGTCATGGCCTTGCTTCCGTCCAACAGTTTCAGCTTTTTGGCTGATGGATGGGATGAGAGCAAGGAGGAGCCAGCTGACTTGGAGAAGTTGGGGCAGCATGTGGTGAAAGCAGCCTCTTCCAGTGGCGGTCGAGCACTCATCGTAGACAACACAGCATCCGATTCCCCTGTTGAGCTTTATGAGGCCTGGATCCTGGCTGGTGCTGACGTGGCCACACCTAACAAGCGGGCTGGCAGTGGGCCATTTCCTCGTTATGAGAAGATCATGGCCGCCTCCCAGAAAACGGGCGCCCGTTTTCTGTATGAAGCCACTGTGGGTGCTGGGCTCCCAGTGGTTGGCCCACTTCAAGCCCTGGTGCGAGCTGGAGATGAGATCGAGACCGTGGAAGGGATTTTCAGCGGAACCTTGTCCTTTATTTTCAACAGCTGGAAGCCCGGTGTGAAGTTCTCCGAGGTGGTGAAAGAAGCCAAAGAGAAGGGCTTCACTGAGCCGGATCCTCGAGATGATTTGGGTGGAACTGATGTGCAGAGGAAGGTCACGATCTTGGCACGGGAGTTGGGGCTCCAGATTGAGCTTGATGATGTGCCAGTGAAGTCATTGGTCCCTGAGAAGCTCCAAGACTGGGAAGCGCCCGGTGGGCAAAAGCTAGCTGACGCCTTCATTCAAGAGCTTGAAGCCTATGACGAAGAGATGGAGAAGCTCCTGGACGAGGCGGAAAAGGCCAACGAAGTGCTCCGCTTCGTCGGCGCGGTGGACGTGAAGTCGAAGTCGGCTTCGGTGAAGCTGGGGCGCTATCCCAAGGATCATCCTTTTGCTTCGACGCAGTTCGCGGACAACATTTGCGCAGTGTCATCCAAGTGGTACACACCCAGACCCTTGGTGGTCCAAGGCCCTGGAGCCGGGGCAGCTGTGACGGCTGCGGGCGTCTTCAGCAACATCATGGAGGTCATGAACGGCATGCGCTGAGAGGGGGCATGGTTACGGCCGGTCGTGAAAAGAACGACCTGTTAGCCCTGTTAGCAATAGAGTGAGGATAATAGAGGTCAAAGTTTAGATGAATTTTGAACAGACTCAGTTGTTGAGTGTGGCAGCATTGCAGGAATACCAGTGAAAGGGTTGTACATTGAGTTTTGACATGTGCCGCCACCTTCTGCAATGCTATACTTTGGAATCTGGAGCTTTGACAAAGTTGCCGTCATTTGTGTTGTGAAAGTAGTGACACAGGGAAAAGCACACCGCGGCGACCCTGCGAATTCAATATGCCAATGACATGACATCGCTCTCTTCTTGTTTTGGCCACCTGCGGCTTACTTGACTTTCACGATATTGGTTTTTGAGGCAGTGTTTTGTGTTAGCATGCCACAGGCACACAGGGCTTTACACTCTAGATCATCTAGATTGTTGTACCAAGCCGTTGTCAAGGCACTGGAGAAGAAAGATAAGACGGTCACGCAGCTGACTCTAAACTTGAAGCAATGCAGAAAGGAGGCGGGAGAGGGAGAAGACAACATGACACATTGTGGGTGAGTTTTCCGTTGAGTGTCCTAATGCTTTGACAAGCATTCTGTACAAGACAGGTAGTTGGCTTTGCAACCCGCAAGCGAGTGCGAATGCATGCTACATGCTACTATCATGCTACTATACGATATATACATGCAGAGAGAGAGAGAGAACTGCTGTTCTGATGTTTTCCTTCAGCGACTGCAGAGCTTCGCCAGGTCTGGAAATTGCAATGCGAAGCGAATGCAGCAGACATGAAAGCCCTGAGCTTAGTGGCCAGAGAGGCGGACCGCAGTGGAGACCTGACGACGACCTCAGGTCGCCCGACTGCTGCAGAAACGTGAGGGCGAGCTTCCAGAGGAATACAGGGAAGAGCTCGAAAGGCTTAAGGACAAGGAGGTCGGCGTGAAACCACACCAAGCGATGCAAAGCAGTTCGTCTTTTTTTTTGGTGGGGCTCCCTGTTGGTTGCCGGTTGGCTCAACGACCCTCCCACCCAAGATTCGCTTCAGTCAGCCGAAGCTTCAGAACGATATCAGAACGCGTCTCTCATTTGAATGACCTTCGGCCACAGGAAGCCTTGGCTGATCAGCTCAGTCATGCGCGGGCCAACGCGCAACGCTGGGCCTCGGTCGCCCAGCTGCAATCACCGGTTCGCTCGCCGAACGTGGCAGAGTGTGGCCATCACAGTTATCTAGTCGGTTGGCAAGTTGGGAAAGATTGAAACACCCCAGAACGCCCCACCATTCTGTTTAAATGGTTTGAGAACTTTTTGGCTGACCCACTCTGATCCAGAGAGACGTGCTGGAGAGTGTGACTTAGTGTATAAGGGACCTGAAAAAGCAATTTGCGAAGAGACATGTTTTTCATTGCGACATTCCAGTCCTATCCACTATCCACAATCCAATCAGAGAGAGAGAGAGAGACCTCAACACCGTTCAGGTGGCCAAGCGACAAGATGCAATGCTTCAGCAGGACGGGTGCTTGTATGCTGCGTTTTCTATTTGTCTATAGCACAGACTAACTGTAAAATGATGTAAAATGTGAATATCCCAAAGGAGTCTTTGTCAGAGATTTTAGCCCTGGATCTCCGAGACTCACGCAGCTTTGTGCGGCCCAAGCGAAGACGAAGCGAGGTTTCCTCCGTGAGGAGCCATGGAAGCCCAGATGGAGAGTGAGATGCAGCAGCTGAAGTTGCTGGACAAGCTTGCCATTTATGTGGTCGTCATTACATTGCTGATCATGCTTTCGAAGCCCATTTTGCCGAAAGTCACGTGGGGATACGACTTCCTGCCACAGATGGCATGTCACATGTGGTCTTACCTCATTCCTTTCTTTGTGCTGTTGCACGCGGGGCATGACAGCTTTATGGTCATCGTGTCATTTGCCTCGTCGATGCTGATTGTGGCCAACCTCGCGACCGTGGGCTTCCCCTTGTACCAGTCCGCTCCGGCAGTGGCTTTGCTTTGGGAGCTTTGCTACGTCTTAGAGCGCTTCGACAAGTGAGAAAGGAGGGCGCGTGACGGCGCGTGTCGACTCAGCCAGGGAACCACCAGGCACTGGTCTGGAATGAAGGCCTGAGCCGTGCATTTGCTTTACCAGCCCAGGGCAAATGGATTGTGACATATCGCATGAGAAGAAAAAGCGGGCAGAAGCAACACCGGACATCCTTGACATCAAACAACAAATGTTGATGCCACAAACAGACGTGTCAACTCCTGCCTTCAGCCTGTATTCAGGAGCGTGAGGAGCAGCGTGGGGATGCACATAGCATTTTAGCCAAGCACCCTGCGGGAGAGGTGTTCTGGTCGTCCCTTGGCTAAGAATCCGCACACATCATGGACATGACATGTCCTAGGAAACCAGATCATTCGCCTCACCAGCTGCCTTTGTTGGATTCAGGGGGTTGGTTCTGTCGTGGTTGTGTCGTGTCCTGTTTCAGCTCGCAGGCAAGAATCAGACAGTGAGAGCGAAGAGGAGAGAAGAAGACCAGGGCCATCAGAAGTTACCTTGGGAAGCAGTGATGAGGACCAAGAAACTGTTGGCAGTGCCTGCCAAAATGGTCATGTTGTTTTGTGAGATTTGATCATGTGATCAATCCTTGTTCAAATTTGAGGAATCCCCAAGGGGCTCGTATCCAGCAGCCAAAGGCAAGAGCCGGCCTCGATCCTATTCCTCAGAGTCTTGGCTGTGGTTTGATGGCTTCACTTTGAGATAGTTGAGTACAGCTTGGCTGGTTTCCTCGATCGGTGGCAATCCAGTAAATACCTGCACTATACCTGATGGATTTTTTGCTCAAGGTGAAATGTGTGGGGAATCATGGAGCCTATGGAAGAACACATGCATATCATTCGGATCCAAGCGAATGTTGAGACCTGCCACCATCCGATCACCACGATCGCGAATTGGTCGAGGATAGTGCCAGCAGCGGCGACTCTTTGGGGCTCGACGGTGCTCGGGACACGCGTTCTTGAACGCCATGCCCGTCGGCAGACCGTCGAACGCAGACCCATGCAAATATGAAAAACAATGAAATACAAATTGTAGATACAACAAATGTTCGGAAAGTCATGTTCCACTTGTTGATTCTGTCCACGGAATGATAATACCAAGATGCCCAGTGCTTCTTAGATGGGCTGCTTCTTCAATGTCCGAAACCAGTGACACCAAGCTGTTGGAACGAATGGCGTGTTGGGGCGCGGTTGGAGCGTGTCAAGACGGTGATTGATATCCCTTCGGGGCCGGGGTGGGGGAGAACATGAGACAACAACGAAGATATTCACGACGATGTCCTGATCTTCAATGGCCAGGCCCGACCTCGACAGCGGCGGCTGTAACGGTGGCTTGCATTGTGAGATACGTGGATGACAAGAACTTGAAGGATCAAAGGATCTAGATGTTTAATCCATGTAATTGTATATCCAGGTGTGTTTGAACAGCCAAGGCGAAAGCTGTTCCTCCGTTGCCTGAACTCTCAAAGACTCAAAAGCTGCAAGAAGATGCGGACGAGGCCTCACAGGATTGATGATATAGTCACTATATATAGTCATTGAACTGCCAAATTGCCACCTGCTCATACCTGGGGCCTGGGGTGAACTGCTTCAAGGACCCTAGTGAATCACATCCATCTCAAGACCCGACAGGGTGCCAGCAGCATCAGCGGCGACTCCTTGGATCTTCCAGGGACAGGCACGGCAGACGGCGACGCAACGGCGACCGTCGACGAAAGCGAGCGGTTTCCGTTTAGGCATCGGGTCGTTGTTCACGCAGCTGAGCTTGTCCACTTCGATTTTGGTCAGTGGGAGTCAGGAACAAACGACCTATGATAGATATGATGTCAAAAGTCTTAATGCAGACTCTTGATCAATAACCACTCTCATTTGAAGTGCAAAATCCTCTTCATATGGGGGGGGGATTATTAATCAAGAGTCTACATTAGCTTCATGATAGATATGACCAGGCTTCTGCACACAAGCCAGCTTATTCTGTAGTTTTCTTCAGGGGCTGTCTTTCGGGAGAGACACCAAGAAAAGAAGAACTACGAAACTGAGCTTTGGTGGCCAGGCCCAACGCCGACAACGACGGCTGTAACGGCAGCTTGCAATCTGAGACATGCGGGGTCAAAGACATTTAGACGATGAGACAAGAGTGGGTTTTTCACGGTCAACTGTGTTTCACAGCTGTTGTTTAAAGTTTAAACATTTTGGACAAGCTGTTGACCAGCTGTGACCCAACTGTTGACCATGAGACATTTAGGACAAGCTTTTTTTCACAGCCAAGGCGAAAGCTGTTCCTCCGTTGGCTCAACTCCCAAAGACTCAGAGGTTGCCAGAAGATGATGAGGATGAGGCCAGCATTGATGATATCGTACGTACTTTTGCAGGTAACCCGCTTTGCCGGGGATCTACTTGACTCTCAGGGTGTGAAAACGTTTGGGCACCGACTGAAGACAGACCGCCACAGCTTGAAGACTGCAGCGTCGCAAGATCTACTCCGAGATAGAATCGGACATACAAGAAAGCTCTCGCAGCGTGTGAGTGACAACGATGTGATGCGTTTCTGAACATCGCTCCTATCAGAGGCAAGCAACATGTTGCAAAGCCATGCAAAGCCCATCTAATTGAGCCATTGAACACTTGCTGTACATTACATTGAGTGAGGGGTCATGGAGTCATAAATATCAAAATTACTAGCATCAGAATGACTTCAGTTTGGGAGCGCCTTTGATGAGCGCATGTGCACCTGGTATCTTTGATAGATAAGTTGCGCTAACAAAGTAGATGCAAGGATAGCCCGTGCAGACAGTTTTTCCAGACGTTGGTATCCAGTAGTGGCAGCAATTGTTCAACAGAACTCCTGTGTAAAACACTGCTGCACGTGCTTTCCTGACCTTGGCGCGAAGTAGTCAATGCAAGGAGCTGAAAAAAGGCACACCGCGCGAGTCTCGTTAGTTCTTTTTGCTCACCCTGATTGAGAGTGATGCTTATATAATGCTTGCTGCTTTCTGTTTGCATTCTTACACTCGACAGGGTGGCAGGGCTTAAAACTCTGGGCATTCGTACAGTCTCAAGATGAAGATGGAAGCTCAAAATGGTCCGTTTGCAAGTGGCCTTCAGATGTTTTCAGGTTGTCAATCCTCAGGGGTATTGAATGCTCAAAAGCTGTTGCAGGCAGCATGTGCTCCATCCAAATGTTTGGAAGCCTTCGACCAGGATGCTGAGGTGTCTCGAAAAGCTTGCTTGAAGAATAGCGAGGAACGTGTGTGGTCTCCTGGATATATGCGTTTAACAAGGATCAGACGTATCAGAGATGTCTCCGAACCTGTTGGGGGAGCACCGTATCGGCAGGAGATGAGCTAGGCTGCCGTGAGCAGAAATAAACCTGAGAGTGCACTCTGCTTTGCACCGTTCGGTGCGTTCCAGAGGCGTATGCTCCATCGACCACTTTGGGCTTGTGGAACCCCAAAGTCTTGCGCTGAGCGAGCTCGCCGGAAGAACTGTTTCCGACCACATCCGCATGAAGACAGGCAAAAGACGAGCGGAGAGGAAAGCCTCAATTCCTGGGAGAAGAACAAATGGTCAATCATTCACACACCTTTCCAAGTTGGAGTCTGCCGCAGATGCCTGCGTTGTGTCCTCAGTAAGCTGAGCCAACAGTGTGAGGATTTGTGCTAACAAACTACTGTTGAATTCCAGCATTTTGTGTAGTGTTGTAGTGATCCCCGCATAGATAGACATGGATTCCAAGACAGCGTGCAACTTGATGGTGATTGATGTCGTATTTCCGGGGCGGTATATAATTACAGTCCAGTGTGAGCATTTACAACAAAATAACACCCTCCCAGTGAAAAAGAATGTGAAAAACCAACGTTAAGCCAAGAAGTCGAAAACATGTACAACAGGATCCAAAAGTCAAGTGCAAGCAGTTTATGAAAGGGTCATCAATGACTTTTTCATTTTTGGGTGACTTGGTGGAAAGGAGGTTTATATTTTTACAGCAGGAGTGTCAGTTTCCTGTACTTGGAAAACAGGTTTGTCATTGTACCAACCTACTGGCCGAAGTCTATCGAGTCTATTGTCGACAGCGATTTGTAATTGATTGTCAGCTCTGTACTTTCTGAGACTTTACCCTTTTGCAAAGACTTGTTGGAATTGTTTAGAAAGGGTGTCACAACGAAGTGCTTGTTTTGAGCTGGCTCTACACATAAAGGCTTGCCGTTGTAGTCATAATCCATTCCAAGTCCTGAAAAAGAAAGCAACTGGACCTCAAAAGGAAGCTTGTTATTGAGGAACTGAAGTTTATCACTTTGCCTTGGCAAATTGGGCACCGCTCGCGTCCACAGCGAAAGGAATCGCTTCAGATTGGCACACCTGGCCGCATGTTCGAGGCTGGGGGGATTTTTGGGGTTTGGAAGTTCAACGTACAGGAAGTTCGGTTGAATAGGAGACAGTGACAGAACCCCAGCATGTCACAGGCGTTCGATTTCCATGTCACAGCTAGGCGTTCGTGGACCTCTCTATTCGGGGGACCTCTCTAAACTACCAATCGTCCCAGCAACCAATCTTTCCAATAGACCACTGATGACCACTGTACAGGCTGGAAGACTCCAAAGTTCAAAAGCAAGGTGAAATTTCAAATGAAACCCTGGAAGATTTGGGTGCCATTGTGTTTGATTTGCCAGTGAAGGCAAAGTATGGCAGAAAGACCTGACATACAGACCTGTCACCTTTTTGGAAAACAAGAGTGGAGTGAGTCCATGGGTCCATGGGTGCAATGTTGCTGCTGTTTCTTGCAGTATGTGTTTTAATTGTTTTTAATGTTAAATAATTTGTTTTAATGATAAATAAGTTGTGTCATAGTTTTCTATGTTGTTTTATATAATGTTTTGTTCTGTGAATATAGGTGTTCAGCATAGTTGATGAGCTACCCAATGACCGGGTACCCAATTGTCTTCAATGAGTAGGGGGCGTCCCCATCAATCATCAATGGTCAGAGGCTACGGTGATGATCTACAACGGTGGGCGTGCTGCGGTGGGTGAGCAGATGACGACCCATTGGGGTAGCGACCTTGGTCAATGCGCGACGAGGATCGCGCGGCGACCTTCCCAACTTGCTTTTGTGACTCTTTGTGAAGCTTTTGGCCTCCCAGAACTGTGATGCTTCGTCCAGCTCCCCCCAGGTTTTTGTGCACCTGCACATTGTGCAGACGACGATGCTGCAGCTGTTGCCTGTTGCCTTAAGAACGTCAGGAATGCACACAGTGATCCTATAAAATTTGTGCTGTAGACCGAGCGTTTATTAACGTGTGCATTGTTGCGACGTGGCATCCGTTCGTCAAAACAAGTGGATTTGCAGCAGATCAGCACAGTTTGCACATCGAAGCCCAAGAGAAAGGACAAGAAAACATCTCCACCCAATACAAGTGGCCAAAGGATGTGAGAGGAGAAAATCCATCAAGGAAGACACAACATGTTCATTCATTGCCAGTTCCAAATCCAGTTCTTGAGAGTTCTTGAGATGTTTGGCAAATTTAACATCCAGTATAGAAGCACACCCGAGCCGCATCCGGCTTTGACACCAGATCACTTCCACTTGCTTGAGGCTACTGTAGTTGCAGTACACAAAAGGGTGGGCAGCCGACAGGCATAACAAGAAAGAGGTTCGTTCCATGGTATTCCATGTCATTCGCCATCACGAAACATGATTGCGCTGTCAACCTCAGCTGCGGCGGTGCTTCTCGCAGCAGGCAAGGGGCTTCTCGAAGCATGGCATGAACCAGCAGAATTTAGCAGGACCCCGCAACTCCCCACAATTTGCGGACACGTACGCCCCCCAAATACATCTACAGTAAATACTACGTTTGTTTTGGGCAACTGCCATTTGTTCGTGGTGAGGCGTCCTGTGGCTACAGCAGAAAAAAACAGTGGCAGAAGAGGCCTTATCTCAACGTATCAATATAGCAAGCAGGATGCGGCAGGTATGATTGTCATGTGATTGCCTATCATATCACATATATACGTGTGGCGTACACCTACACACAATTACATAATATATATATTTATGTATATATACATTTATACTGTAGTAATTTATGCTATTTTATACTTATTTGTGTGCGTGCATGCACATGCTTGCAAGCATTTTTGTGTGAATGAAGGTTTTGGCGTCCTATGGCTTTTGAGATTTGAGGCAGAAGAGACGTGCCTGGGCCCTGATTTGCTTGGGCAGGATGTTCTGTCGGCATTTATTGCAGCTGGGCCGCAAACACAGGCACATCTGGCCTCGCAGAACATCGGTTGGAGCATGGCATGAACTTGCTTTTCTAACTCACAACTCTTGGCTCAAGTCCAGGTTTGTTGTTGCTTGAATGACCTTGGGAAGCACAAAGAAGCATATACAAGGCGTTCAAAGTAAACCAATTCATACCAATTCCGTGCCTACCGAAAGCTCGGGTGTCAAGAAGGAAGCATGTCATTGCAAAGGGTGTTTCCTTGCCTCCATCCAGCTGTGTCGTAACACGATGGGAGCTGCCAACGGTGTTGCCGCGGACTCCGGTGTGGCTGCTTCTCCCTGGAGCTATTTGGCCTGTGAAACGCCATGCTGCGATCAGGAGCACAGCTTTCTGGTGGAAAACCGCAACGCCGCGCGCTTGGGACTCTCCAATTTTGAACCTCCACATGCCGAGATGGACATCAAAGACTTCAAGTCCAAAGGCTTCACACGCATGGAGATCGTTTGTGCTTCGGAACTGGACACCTATCGCATCAACCGATGGGCCAAGGACGAGAGTGATGCCGAGCTCGCCAAACAGATGGAAGGCTTACCACCTGCCCTGACCTCGATGATGGCCTTGGCACCGCCGGAGGGGTACCTGGCGGATGGCCCAGATGGTCAGTTGGTCCGAGACTTTGGAGATACCACCGAGTTGGTCGACTATGACGCACCCAACCGCCAAGCATCCACAGTACCCTCCACACCCACCACGCCGACGCCACCGAAGACACCGGAGGATGCTTGAAGATGCGACGAGAAGATGCCCCGAAGGTTGAGGAGTTGCTTCCTTGACCTAGCTCGGCACGAAGCTTTCCGGAGGCCCATGTTTGAAGGTATAAGGTGATAACACACATTTATAGTACACATTTTATACATATGCCATATGTATGTCATATGTCAGTCATGTCAGCCATTGATGTTATCCACATAGGACTGACCGGGAGCTGCGTATTAATTCGACTGCAAGAGTCTCACCCTGTTTGCAGAAATAGCTTTGGAGCCAACGTCTGCCCCACACCACTTTGAAGAATCGCTAGCACCGACGAAGGCCGCAGCCTGTGATTCTTCGTGGCCAAAGCCAAAGTGACAAAATTGGTCACGAGCTTGCATCAATTGAGGTTGTTTGACGGATGTGGTTTTGCGCAGCACGAAAAGTTGGGTTCTGAGTTCTGAGGGTTCTTTCAGCTGGGCTGAATCGTTTCAGCCCGTCAGAAATTGTCAAGAACCCCGTCCCTAGGTGTATGATTTCGTTTCTCCATGTGTTTGCTTCGACTTTGAGGCTTTGGGAGTACCTGGCGCCATCAATGTGTCTCAACTGCCAGCAGCTGCGCTTTTGCACTGGACGCCAAGGTTGGAAACACTCTGGTGTGATGTCAGTTCTTGCAAAGATTGTGCACCAAATCAATCTTCCCACAAGCTTGCCTTGCAGGTTAGAGACAGTTGATGCAATCATCCTTGTCCACTTGCCGGCCTGGTTTTGCCCCCCATGTTCGGCCAGGTCATTGGCAGAGAAAGCGCCCATCTTGAAAGACGTTTGGGTGAAAAACAGATCGGCCACGGAGATCAGCACTCGATTCACGCCACTTGGCGCGCAGCGTATGAAATTTAATTCACCGAAGTATCCAAAGCCCTTCAAAATTGATTATTAATAGGTTGGAGGCCATCGCTATTAAGTCTTGATTCCTGACATTGAGATTTGACTCTCTTCAATCCTGTTCACTGTTCAGGGCGGTTTTATTACCTGTACTTCGCATCCCGTCCTCCCTCCTCCTCCTCCTCCTCCTCCTCCTCCCACCGCCTCACACCAACTCAACTCACTTACACTCTCTCACACCAATTTGCACTGACTGACTCACTCACTCGCTCACACCTCACTTTCACTCATGCCTTTGCGATTCCTCTTAAGGGGATTGGAGGTTCACATCACTTGGTCAGCTGTGGTTGGCGGTCTCCTCCACTTGCGCTTTGCCTGTTTGGAGCCCTTCTAAGGGATGAGAGATGATGAGAGGTTCTGATGCGCCGTGGTCGGCTGTGGTCGCTTGGCCTCCTGCCCTTGCGTGTCCCTTCGGCTTGCTCACGCCAACTCATGTCACTCACGCCAACTCACCGGCGCACTCACCCACTCACTCACGGCAGTATATGTTCACCATTCCAATATTATTTCACATTTTTGCTCATCATTTGCAAGCACTCCTCCGTCGCTATCATTCCTCTTTCTTCCGATGTTGCCGCTACTTACGTACTACTTGTTATGAACACAAAAGCTTCACATGCAGGCCTCTTTGGTCCTTTGAAGATTTTTTGGGGGGAACCGGGAACACTACTCCAGGGCCAAACTGGGATTTTGGTGAGGCCCTCCTACTATCCTTCTATTAGTTCCGCAAGTGACCTTCACCAACAGATGCCACCAAATATCCCGCCCATACCTTGCTGTTTTGTTTGTTGTCGTCCGATGAGCGATTCCGATCATTTGCCAAGGTATTGTGTCCCGAGCCGAACGCTCGGCCCACTATTGCGTGAGAAGTTGATATCGCACGAGGTGATGCAGATCGGGACTGAAGAAATGCTTAAGGCATGCATTCAGGACACCAAGGCGGGAATCAAGCACATGTTCTTGTTCACGTGGGTGGCTTGACCAACTTCAACATTAAAGATTGAGAGGATTGTGTGAACCTTTCACGTGCTGTTCGCTTGGCTTACTCAATTGATTCTTGGTACATCTTAGCACTATATGATACTATATGCGTTTAGGCACTACAAGCTAAACTCCAGAATTGCTTCTGTTCAGTATGCTTAAAGATGCTTAAAGTATGTTCCATTGCATTGTTAGCTCCTTGTTTGCCTGTCAGAAGCGCTACTTCTACTCTGGCTTGGCCGAAGGCTTGTCTGACCCTTTACATGTTTGACCAGTGTAAGCAGAACAGCCCAACTCAGAACTCATGCCCAGTGGATATTGCAACAAAGCAGCAGGTGCAGACGGGCTGGTGCATTCAGATGCCAAAAAGTTGGTCGAAAGCTTCCTCAGAGCAGTGGAAGGGGTTCGCTCAAAAGCTACAACGCCGCCGGCTTCGCCAGCTTCAACTTCGGAGGCGTTTGCAGCAGCGTGAGTTCTACGCTACGGATTGTTTGGATGACATTTACTGTAGCTCATACACGTTGTTCAGAAGGTCTTTGATTGGACCCAAATCAATAACTCTAACATACTCTAACACTCCAGGAGGTTCTATGTTTGATTACTTGGATTATGCAGTGGGTTCAATTATTTGCTGGTCATTGCTATCTAGGTTGTTAAATGGGAGATGTGTGGCTTTCATGTATCATAGGGCATGTCTCTGCTGCGAGGCAAGGGCCAATGTATGGATATCGTGCCCGTTCACAGGGGCATCCACCCACTACGACATGGGCTACAACATTGTTTTGCAACTGCCACTTGCCTCATCGTTTGATTGGCTCCTACCCTAGAATCCTAGCTGTGGAAAGTCGGTTGCAAAATAGAAGCATGAAAAAGCCGACTTTCCACAGCTACGTCGCCAGTATTTACAAGAGTTTATAAGAGGGCCATTGCACGATCTGATCTCCACCCAGTGTCCTGAATGTTTGTAGGTTTGGCACCAAGACCTTCGAGCTGTGATCGCCTCAGCTGTGACCTTCGAGCAATGCGGTGAAGACCTACAACCCATGGAGGAGGAGTGTGACCGTTTTTCCAAACGAACCGGAGGTTTGTTTGAGACTCCCTCCATGCGGTTTACGGTTTCCTTTGAAGAAAGGAAGATGTCAAACCATGCAGGTTACCTCCAGAAGCATTCGTGGAGCTCAACATACCTCCAACAGGCCACCCCTTTGCCTATTTCTCAGCTTTTTCCCATGTGAATCGCCCTTGGGCATGCTTTTTTCTCGGACACCTAGGCACGTCAGGTCATGAAAGAAGGTCGCCCGGTGCTGAGGGATACACATTCTCTATCTATTTGAGTCTTTGATCAGTTCGATCACTTCTCGAAAAGGAATGACCTCGTCCTCGCCGGAACCGGCGTGACCCGACCAGAACCCGCCATAACTTTGGTGAACGCCGCATCTTTCTTGGCATGTGCGGTAGTCACCGACGTCCGCCGAAGTCGGCGGTCTGGCCTCGGTGTTCGCGTCGAGGCCACAACTTCTCGAGGTTCCACCTGAAAAGAGGCGATGCGCCGCGACCTTTGAGAAAAAACTTTCCCGTTAGAAGCGAAGCCGAGGCGAACCGTGCGGACCGACGCTGCATGCACCAACGCCAGCTTTTTCCACAGTTTAGACCGAGGCTGTATGTACCACCGCTTTGGGCGCACAGAACGACTACTGGCGAAGGTTCGCACTTCTCAGTTGAAGGTTCAAAGTTTGCGAAAACCACTCATAGTTGTGAATGAAAGGCAAAGATCCAGCAACACAAGACATAACATGTTGCGTTTAGTACAATCGCTTGTACTTTTGGCCCGGCCGTTTTGCCTCACTACCCTGAACAGATGACATGCCCACATTTTTCCACAAGACTCTTATATAACTGGGGTTTACATGGTTTTGGGCAGAAGGCCCAGCCATATTAGTCACGTGCGTCTCACTATGGCAGGAGCCGAGCAGGAAGTCTCTATCTCTTTGAACATTTTTATCGGCAAGAGCCTCATGCCTGGTGACCAGCTTGGACTCCAAAATTGATCTCAAAATGAGTGCATGGCAAAATTTGGAAATGGACGGACATGTTGCAGTGCAAATGCAAATTTAATGTGTTGCTAAAACATGCTACAACGCGTGGTATGACCCGGCGCCCGGTGCGGCTGAAGCAGGTTGGATGATAATGCAGCTTTCTATCATGCCAGTGAACGCCACAACATCGGGCTGAGGTTCTGCCGCGGAGGATGTGGCTGAGCAGCTTAATGCATTAGCACTGCCTTTCGAGGCGAAGCAAACCTTGCATTAGCTACCAGAGAGCTGCAGTTGCAAAAGTTTGGAAGTGGAACTTGGCAAGCTGACTGGGAAGACTCTTGCATGTTGATTTTGCCGATGGTGCCGTTTCATCAACATTGTTTCCGAAAAGCAACTTCGTACGCTGGCTCCGACACCTCAAGTTAAGTATATATTGCTTGCATGGTGCACGCGGTGTATTCAAAGCGGTTGCTTTGTAGGCATCCTGGCCATCGAATACCATGCAGTTTGCTGTGGCACTCTACTTGAAGGCCTTTCTTGACGAGGCCAGCAAATCTTTTTCGTTTGGGGCTTGGAGGTATTGCAGTGGTTTGTTTACCAGCATGCAATTGGCGGGGGGTTCATGTGTTGCATCCTGTGACATATGCGACGTATTGCTTGTCACCCAACTTCATACATACATGATCATACACGTATATAATTGTATAATGTGTATATATATATATGTTTGTGTGCATGTATAGTTTTTTGTAATATACTGTAATATATATATATAGTATATATATATAGTATATATATATAGCCTTGCTTCTACTTGCAATTCCGAAAGGGTAGGCAACGTCTCAGTATTGTTTTCTTGCCGGCCCTCCTCTACACCAAGCAAACCTAAACGTATATAAGATGTGTATATATACACATACACACCATATATATATATATATTTACCAGGCTACCGCCTGCAGCCGCCGACCCCCAAGGGATAGAACCTTAGCGCTAGCCTTGCTCTATGTTAGCCTTAGCCTTAAGCCTTAGCCTTAGCCTTAAGAGTGCAGACCCAACCCAGCACCACCAAAGCAGGTACCCAAAAAGTCGACTTTTTGGGTATCTCCCAGATTTACCATCGGACGTCAGCTCTGCATGAACCCCGATCATTGCCCAAGAATTTAGACCCAACCCTTCACCACCAAAGCAGGTACCCAAAAAGTCGACTTTTTGGGTACCTCCCAGGTTTACCAATTTAGACCCAACCCAGCACCACCAAAGCAGGTACCCAAAAAGACAAAGCCTAGAGCATTCCTAGGAAAATGCCAGAAAAGCCTTTGAAAATCTCATAAACCAACAGAAAACGTGACAAAATCTACGAAAAAGCAAGGGCATTGGCCGGGACCATGCCGCGACCAGCCCGGGATTCGAGCCCAGGACCATTTTGGACCGTGCTTATTTTCCCGCGCGGGTCGAGAGGGTGCCCCAAGATGTAAATCAATTGGGATGGCAGATTCTTGGACAATCCAGGTCGCTTTCCCGGCAGGATTTCGTCACTGCAACAAGGGTCCGGAGGGGTAGGGGAGGTCTAGGTCTAGGTCTAAGGCTAAGGACTAGGTCTAAGGCTAAGGCTAAGGCTTAAGGCTAAGGCTGACATCGACAGTCACGCCTCACCCCACGGTGTGGGGTCGGCGGATATATGTTCTTGTGGAAACTGTTTTCCAATGGAGCATCCTGGTTTGTTCAATTGGGAATATGTTTTAGCAAGGTTAATCAATGTTGCCGGATTTGACATGGCGACAGGGGCAAGTCATATTGCACAGAGAGGGGTGTGTGTCACATTATGAGAGCATTCTCTCAACCACTTTCAGGGTGCATTCTCTCAGCATCGCGAGTAGCCAAGGCCCAAGTAGATGCAAGATACTTGGCCGCACGATGGGCATTGGTGGAGCTGAAGGAGGATCCGTCACTTGGAAAGAGTAGATCAGACAGGGTAAATGTTTCCTTGGGAGACTATCCCAAAATGACTCCAACCTGTGAAACAAGAGCGTGTGGCGAAGGCTAGCCGCGTGCATTGACTTGGACCTGTGCCTTTCTAGAGGTCACTTCCTGCCATGTTTCTCCATCCCTTTGACGTAGGAGCTGCCAGCGAACTGCACTGCGGTGATCCCACAGTCCGAATCAATCCTGAAGCGAGGGTCCCTTGGACCTGGAGTTGGTGGCTGTCGGATGGTGCGGGTGTTTCACGGCAACTCAACCTCATGATGCAATCAAGCTTGGGGAGCGCAAATGTAAATGTACCCCTCCAAGGGGAGTTGTTCACTGTCATGCTGCCTGTTTCGGCACACCCTTACAATACGTACATGTTGCATCATGTTGCTTGATACGGGATACAATGCAAGGGACATCAAGGGGCTCATGTCATTGAGTCAAGTTGTGACTCGTTGCAACGTGTTTTGCAAGGAGAGATGCCGCACTGCTTTTGCAGGCAACGATGGGAATGCGAGGCTTTTACATGCTTTTGCAAGACACACTTACCTGTGAAAGGCATAGCAATGCATTGGTCCGAAATTGAAGCTCCTGCAGTAATTTGACTATATAATATATATATATATAGTTGGTAAGATGACTACATACAGTATTTGTTCAGGTCTGTTTGCAGCTCCTTGTAGATGCTGTACTCCACTTCGTGTCTATGTCGCACCCTTGCCTTGCGTAGTGAACCTAAAAATGGAACTCGATTCGATCATCGACATGGTCGGGGTCGGAGGCCCTTCCGCGCAAACATCGCGCACCGATCGCACTGGACAGGGAAGCCTTAGGGCTTCCAGTTTCATTGAGCGCCAAATGCTGTTTCCTGCTCGATCGTTGAGTAAAGTAACTAGTACTATATACAGTTACATGTAACTACTCCACTACTACTGGCACTGGAGGGATTTTCCATGTTGTTCTTCCATTGTTGTTGTGGATGCTCGTTGTTCTGCAAAAAGCACACCACAGAATATCAATTTGAACAGGTTGAGTGGCATCGGAATTGTTGCCAGTGACCTGACTGCAGGATTATGCGGATGATGTGCTTCTGGGCGTGCTGGAGGCCAAAGTGATTCACAGCGTCATCCGGGAGATCCTTGGACGAAAGACCTGATGGACGATCCTTTTTTTTTAATTGTGGGTTCTGTATTCTGTGTAGCAGGTTGATGGCCCATGTCCCTCAATCTCTTCTCCCCTTGCGCTGGAACCCAATGCAATTCCCAAGAAGTATCTAATCAAGCCCCTATATGCATGATGCTGCACATCTAAGGTGCTTGATCTCAAGTTTGGACAAAACCGAGCGCACTAGCGGAGAAATGCACGGCGTGAGTCGCATTGGATCTCATGTTGGTGTTGATGCATTTAAGCAGGCATATCAAAATCAGAGAGAGAGAGAGAGGCCAAAACTTCGAGTTTTGCTCGTTTTCGGCGGCTCCTTTGTAAATTCGTTGGGCCGACAAGTCGCTGAGGCCACTCGCCTGGTGGCCCGAGAAGGCCTCACTTGGGAGGCGCCAGTCGGTGCGCTGATGTGGGAGGAGGAAGGTCCCAGGTCGTTCGCTTTGGAGCGGACTTTTGGGCACACTGTTGGGCATGTTGGAGGGTCCGTGGTTCCAAAGAAAGATTGTATTTTCAAAGGAAGTTTAGTGTGCAAAACTTCCGTGTTACGGACATTCAACAGCTGTTCAACCACCACTCATCATACATCACTCATCATACACCACTCATCATACACCACTCATCATACACCACTCATCATACACCACTCA